CTAAAACCTGACTACTTGCATAGCTATTTTTCTGCCATTTGGCTTGCTCTGGGCATGTTTTGTGATCCTTATCTTGTGAGATAGCAGGCTTTGGCACATTGCACCACCTGAGGCAACAATCTATTGGATTAAAGCTCCTATATCAGGCAGTGATTGAGGCTTCAAACCTAAGAAGCAAGTGCAGACACCATACAGAGCCTGGCTGGGGTGGGCAGAACAGAAAATGTAAAAATGTTGTACTGTTTCCTTTCTCCTCCCTTAAATTTTAGACAGTACATCCTGCTGTTCCCTTCCATTGTCTCTGAAGAAGCATGTCCTGGTCTTTTCTTGCAGTGTTGACCTAATTGTCTTCTCCTTGGTTATGTGCCTCAACCAGAAGTATCATTTTGCTCTCCTCATACTGCTGACCAAAACTCTTACCCTGCAGCTTGGATGGGTCACTTGAGCCAACTTTTACTATTGGCAAGAGGCTTGGTTTGCTTTTCCTTTTTGTAAGTGACGGTGGATGAAGTGCTGGATCTAAAGCAATGACAGGGGAACCAAACCACCTTTCTGGTGCTGCTCCACTCTCCTGAGGATGGACTTCATTTGAATGGGGGCTCCTGTTGCTCTCCTATGTAGAGCTTGTCTAGAAATTTCTGACAGGATGGTAGAAAGTAGTTCATGACAGCTGAAACTTCACATTGGAAGGGTAGGCCTTCTGGCTAGAGAGAAATATCCTCATCTAAAGTACCTGAAGATGGGGATAAGTTTGATGGTCATGCCAGAAAGAAGAAACTGAAGCTCGTGTCACTACCATGGCTTGAAACTCACTGTGATACATCTTGTGTGTATTGCCCTGATGACAGTTTATTGGGTATTGCAGATGGGTTGTTTTTCTCCTCTTGAACCTTTTCCACTTGATACAAGTAGTTCAATAACCATCAGGCAGGGAGAAGGTAGGAAAGAGATTTCCTTCCTTTTGCTCCTCCTTCCCTCTCCCCTTTGAATGTCTGCAAGACTGTAGGGTTGCTGCTTTGCAGAATGAGATGTAAAAATGCCCTGTAATGATCAACATTTCCTACCCAGACCTAGTCCTCCTGGGAGGTCTCAATCCTGCCGCAGGGGAGTTAAGGGGTGTGAGTATGTATCTGTATCCCAATGCCTGTTTCCCACAAAGGAACATTTCAGTGATTCTGACACACTATTGTATGTTGTTTGTGGTTTTGTGGTTTGTTTTTTTGTGTGTGTGTGTCATAGTATTCAATTTTTACTTTCAAAGACCATTGACACACTCCCTCAAAATATCAACTTGCCACTCCTCTCCTGTGGTGTGTCAGAGACCCTTTGGGGCAGGTATGAGCACCGTAGATTATCTACAAAGAAGCTGGGTTTTTCCTGTTTTACCTGCCAGCTTTCATCACTTGTTCTTCAACCTGGAAAAAAAAGCCCCAAACAATCCCCCACACAGGAACCCAGACAGACTGGATTGTACCAACAGGATAACACTGTACCTTACATCACCAAGCTCACAAAGCCCAAATCCATTCCAATTTTAATTGTTTTTAAACACCTAGATGGCTTGTACGGCTTACAGAAAATCTAGTTTGCCTTGTCTACACATCTCTTGTTTGTTGTTTGCCATCTTCTTCCTGTGTTCTCTTGTCTGTCTGTCCTTGGTGAGAGAGAAGCTGCCTCATCCTGAGCATTAGAGAAAAGCTTCTCACACTGTAGGCTTATAAATAATAATAGAAACCTATAACTGTTCATACAGTAAACGCAAGTTAAGCACCATCTGTATCTGGAAGAAGTATTCATATTTTATGAGAAGCTCTGCACAGCCAGCTAAGCACACACAATACTGAGGTGTCCTGAACAGGTGAGCAAATAGCAATCCAGACTATAAATTGTGTTTCCTCGCCAGGAGCAGGGACCTGTTTGGTTTTCCAGAATGGCTCCTGCTTTCTCACACCGAGTGTGGCAGGGGGCTCAGCAGGGTGCGTGCACGAGTGTGGGGTCATCTTCCCTTCTTCTCACTGAATCTTAACATAGATATTTTTGCCACAAATGTAACACTGGAAACAATCAACAGATGTTAAAAATGTGTTGTATTAATGACCTATTTCATATTCAAGTTCAGTTCCAGAATTCCCTTCTCGGCCACTAATTTCCATAACGTTTTATTCACACTCGTTAACCATCAGGAGACTCTCTAACTCAGCAAAAGTGGATATTCATCAATTTCCCTTTGATAATGAATTGATACGACACTGAAAACCATTGTAAGCCTTCCTGTACCTGCTGCCGTACCTGGAAAGAGTGTGTCGTGTAGCCCAGTCACTTCATATCTGACAAGAATGCCTCGGGGGAATTCTTGTGTTTGATTTCAGTGGAATAAATGAGCCCTGAAGAGAGGCAGCAAAAAAATATGAGACCACAAGTGCATGCTAATGAACTCAGGCCTACCTCACTGTGAAGATTTCCAAAAACTCCCCAAAATGCTGCCTGAAGTCCAGGAATCTCTTCCAGTCAGCAGTTGAAGCCTTCAAAGATGCAGGAGTGATGCCACGAGGGAAAGAGGGGCAGGGGAGGAACCAGCATGACCAACAATCAAAAATCGATCCTAAATCTGATTGACCACCCAGCTTGCATCCCTCCTGCCACTGACCTAGACCATGTCAAACTGCATCAGGTCTTCACACAGAGAAACCTTCACCTATTACGTGAATGGAAAGCAGACAACAGTCCAATGTGCAAATGTGAAGTCCAGAAAACTTTCCATCTCAAAAGGCTGCTGAGTAGCCTGGATTTTTTATTTTTTTATTTTTTTTAAGTGCTGCTGGAAAACTTGTTGCTTGGGACACACTGAGTTTGTTTTCAGAGCTCAAGGGGGTTGCCTTGATGTCAATGAAATTCATAATGGTAATGCCACAGAGGAACTCAGCAAAAGCAAATTTAGTGTGGCACATCGTTAAGGGAGGGATGCTCAGCCAGGAAGACTAATTTGGAATGACTTGTTTCAACACAGTCCAGCTAGACGTGAAGAAACTCCATTTTCAATATTCAAATTCAGAAATTTTCAATTCTTGAAATATGAAATATGTGTATATGGATGTGCATGCACCGTGTGTGTATGCACTCTGGGGACTGAATTAGAAAGCTTCCCAGTATTTGGTCCAAATGTATCAGCAACGGACAGAAATATAGACCTTTTTTGGGCTGATTCATCTGGTTCAACTTATCCTATTCTAAAAAGAAATGGCTATATTGTGCTTTCAGTTTCATGGCAGTTTTAATGCTGACTAGAAGGACTGTGGTGAATGGGTGAGCTCTAGAGGTCTTCATTGCTATACTTGTTTAACCAGATGACAGCCTGGGTCATGCCAAGCACAACAAGCCTGTTTGCCTTCAACTGTCCAGCGACAGAAATACCTTCTGAGTATGGAAGTCAAAAGCCACCAGCAACCTGGGTGAACCTGTGGCAGGTTCACCCTGATCAGTGAGTGAGGACCATACCCAGCCCAGCAGCTCTCTTTAGCAACTTTGCTAATGGAGGGGTAAAAAAATAAAGGGGGGCTAAAAAAAAAATGTAAATGGCCACCAAAACCAGGACAGGGTGGATTTGTCTCTGCACGGGGGAAGAAGGTATTGGGGGGGGGCTTTCTTACCCCCCTCTGTTCTGGATCTGGAGGGACTCTGTGTCTTAAAGGCCCAACTTGTGATTTGAAGTAATTCTAGGACAAAGCCAAGGCTCAGTTAATAATGTAAGACAATTCTGGGAGTGGGGGTAGGGGATAGCCTGCTGTTCCTTGTATTGATCAGGAATTAATGTCTAACCTTTAAAAATGCAGCGGAGAAGCTGAGCGCAATTGTGAAACCCTACTTTGTGCTGTGATCAGTTACCTCTGGGGACCCGCGCAGCTCAGGCTGCTGATTACAGATGCATTTGGAAAAACCTGAATTTTCAATTTTTCACACGAATCTCATAAAGCGAAACGGACTCCTGCTGGGATTTATGAAAACTGGTTTACTCTCAGCTGCACTCAATACATCTACTCCTTAGCTAAGTTGGGAGAGTGCTCTGACCAGAGAGGCACTGCAAGAATTATTCCACCCTCAGCAAGTTAATTGCTGCATCGTCAAGTAGCATAGTTATCCATCCTGTCCCTTCTGCTTTCTCTCTCTTTTTCCCCCCTCTTCCTCTCCAAGAGCTGACGTGTGATGTCTTTTATTTTTTTTTCTCCTCCTTGCCATCTGTTTCATGTTTGTAACTTGGGGAGGGTGGGTGTGTGGTAGTGGAGCTTGAGATGAAGTTTGCTGGTGGAGGCATTTCTTTCACTCTGTTAATTAGATTTGTGTTTTCGTTACTCCCAGTTCTAAGGGCCATGCAAATAAGACTAAATTATGCATTAGCGATATGCCCCAGTGTTTAAAACATTCTTATTGTTGGGGGACACCAGCTCCATTCTGTATTCCTCCCTTTCATGGAATTCAATTATATTTAAACTATTAACAGGGAAAGTCTAAAAATTCTATTAAAATGTCAGTTTAATAAATCTTCCTAGGTTTAATCTTTCATTTCTGGACTGGGGGAAGGGGAGGATGAATTATGACAGTTTTAAGTTTTCCCAGAGCAGCCCCTGCGTGTTAAATTGTCTGTAACTCTCAAAGTGTTTCTGAACTTATCTCTATTTGTAAAACAATTTGAGGCAATAGGAGGGTGCCCGGGGTATTTAGTGCAATCAGGCACTTCAGGTCCAGATCTGAAACATGCCACAGTTGGGGGAATTTGGACCCAGTCCTCTAGATCAAACCATTACAGAGGAACAAGAGGAATGGCATGCTTCATGCCTGGTCTCCACTCCCCTCTCCAGGCTCTCAAAGATGGGGTTATCTGGCTTTTGACCTGTCATTTGGACCCAGCACTATTTAAAACCAATTAGATTGTTGTTGCTTTTCATGTCCCTCTTCCTCCATGTGCCACTTCAGGACTATCAAGAGACCTGCCGTCGTCCTGGCTGGTACCCCATTGTGCTGAGCACCATGTGAACATCTCCTGTAAGTGATGCTCTCTTCTCCCCCTCTCTATGCATGCTGTACTTCAACCCTTAGTAAATGCCAAAATCGTGTCTCCTCTGTTTGCTTCAGCTAACTCCTGATTTGAAGCTGTTCCAGTGTCTTAACGCACAGGGAGTTTTCTACTATCTCCTCTCAGCATTCCTGTGCTTGAAATCAGGACTCATGTATGGCCATATAAAGAGATTGCAATGTTTTAGTCCAAATACAGAAAATCCAGCTCTTGGTCCTGCATCCTGCATACAACTGTGCCACAGAGGATGCAGGTAAGGTGGTTGTTTTGGGACCTGGGACATGAACAGAGCTTTCCGGAGTGCCTTGTTTCAGGGCTGCTCCTATCAGGTGAAGATTCAAGAGCTAAACATCCCTTTGTGTGGGGTTTTGTGGGATCATCTGGGAGGGCGAAGAGGATCCAGATGGTGATTTGACCCAAGTCTGCTTGCACTTGAAATCCTCCTGGCCCTGTGTGGAGACAATGATGAGGATGGTGGTGTGGATTATGTTTTTATGGGGCAATTGGTAGTCCTGCTCTGCCTGTCCCATAAAAACATTTGCTAGTCTTTAGACAGTGATGGTTGCAGACAGCAATGAGTGGCAGGTCTGACTTTTATTGAAGGGGCTCAGCTGGGGTTCCTCTGGAGCTGCCTATGAGTGGCAACGGATCATGATTCATGCTGGCTCTACAGGCATTGCTCATGTGTTGGGGGCAGATCCAGGACTGGGAGCAAATCCAACAACCGTGGGCTCTTCAGAGGCTGAACGTTGAGAAGAAAAATCCAGCTGCCTGCCATGGTCTGGACTGGTGCTGGAGTTGGTGTACAGGAGGATCTATATTGAGATGGAAGAGCTTTTAATTAGTTTCTTGCCTCTGCTGGGGAATCCCTGTGTGCTCTCAACAAACTGCCTGCACAGCAGGGAAATGGGGTTGGCATGGACTCTGCCATAAGCAATGAAGTCTCTCTGGTAGGAGATACTTCCACATGGGAAATGCTGCTGTGGGTGTTGGTGACATGACACCAAATGAGAAATAAGTCCCTTCAACAGCCCCTCTGACCAGTGACCCACACGATGACCTTCGGAGACCAACATTTTTCAGGGTGTCTGGTGTTGCTTCTCCAAAATGGAAATGGGTGCAGGCTGGCACAACACACCAAAAAAAGTCATGCTCCTCTTCTTACCTCCCTCTTGCAACCACATTTTCAACTTTTCTCCAATGTTTAAGCTCAGTAGAGTTGAATTTCCCTGTTTCAGCCCTGGAAATGGAGGAAGCCAGTGACCAGCAAGAAAGGTCAAAATGTTCTCAGCAGCTTCTGGGGAGAAAGAGGTGATAAACAATACTGATCTAATGCCTTGGTCAGCCGGGCTGCGGCGAGTAGCTGATGCCAGGCTGCAGGGAGAGTGCGCGGGGTGCAGGGCTTTGTTTGGGTGAATAAACCATGCATGTTCATGGAATATTAATTAATAATAAATGAACATGCATGAATTATTCATACTCATAAAAGCAAATTTGCCCTGAAGGCATAACACAAGATAGGTTTTAAGAAGGTTGTTTTTTTTTTTTTAATTATTATATTTTTTTTTAACTAAGGGTTGGATTTGTATGGGGCATAACTGATTGGTGGTTATTTGAATCTGAACGTAGTGTGACTGTCACAGCCACAGTCAAGCCAGTGTATCTCAGCATACCGAACAGGCACTCCTGCTTCCACTAATGCTATTTTAGTCATTCATTTGTCTTCCAAGATGCATATAGGGACCTACTTGCTCTGAATCCCATTTGACTCTAGCGGGCCAAAAACGGTCCCCTGGGCTAACACCATTGCTGTTGCAACAGGGATGGATTTGTCCCTGCACGTTCGTTCTGCTGACAGATTTGTTCCACCAGCGTGTAGCGCAGATGTCTCATACATGATGCAGGATGTCAGGTAAGATTTGAAGCAGTGAGCCGACGTAGGAAATACTGCCTCTGTGTTTTAACTCTAGTTTATGCTAAGCAGGCCAGCAGAACCTTTTGCTGTGCCAGTGCCTGTTCTTCTGGTCAAGAAAATAAATCCCTGTAAGAAGAATTTAAATAAAATAATGACTTGGTGTCTTGGCGATGTGCCATCACGCCACCAGAGGCTGTAAATTGACCATAACTTAGGAGGTATCTTGCTTTGGGCTTGACTTTACCAGGGTGAAAAAGGTTTGCTGCAAGATCTACATCTAGGATAGGTGCCACTGTGGGACTCCCATGTTGTTCCCTGTGCTCTCTAAATGCTGATCTTGCAGGGACCAGGGGCCTAATGAGCTGTGGCCATGCAAAGAAATATGGGCAAGTGTCCTGTCCTGCCCTGCTCCATTGCTGGTCGATGAAGTGAAATGCGAAGGTTTTCTCACCATTTGAGGCCATTAAAGACTGTCAGGCTGCCGTCACCCACAGTTGGATGCTGAAACATGGCCCCCATCTACCCACAACCCTGTACAAGTTTCATGTCAGGATACTCCTGGCATCTCTTGGACAATTGGCCAAACTGTGTTAAGCTGGATCTTGCTGCACTTGGACAGAAGCTGCCTGTTGATAGTGGGTGATTTGTGGCTCTCCTTGGGTGCTAAAACCTCTCCAAAATATCACCTGTTCCTCCCATGAAGGCTCTCTGGTGGTGTATGTGTGTGACAGTGTGGCTGAACCCCATCTATTCTCCCTCCCCAGCCTCCTTGCACACTCCCAGCATTCTCCTAATTTGCACATCTGGTCAAAAATTGCAGCTGGCTTCCAAGGTGGGATGAGGAAATGTGTCCCTGCCCTGCCCCTGCTCCACCAAGACATAGTTTGGCCAAAGGGTTGTCTCTGGGCAGGGAAATGTGGCTCATAAGAATATCGTGACGGTCTGTCATCTGCTGCTGCGGTGACCGACTGGGGAAAGGGCTCCCCGGGTCTCTGGAAAATGGGTGAGGACCTGTGAAAGTGGAGGATGGTTCGGACACTTGCTGGGTGCTGGAGGAGGGATCTCACGGGCTAGCAGGGTGGGGAGGGAGATACATGGTGCTCGTCAGCCTCCCAGGCATCCTTTCATGGGAAAACATCAGGGAACGTTAGAAATAGAGGTGAGATCCCCAGACACGACTCAGGTCTGCTGTGAATTTGGCCTTAAACCATTAAAATGATCTTAAACTCTTTTTATTTCCTTTCCTATATTTTTCCCCCCAGAAGGATGCGTTGACTTCCTCAGCTAATAAAGAGTGGGGCCATAAACTCTGCTGCCTTTCCCCAGCAAGGCCGTTCCCTTTGGTAAGCTGCTTCCTCCTGTCTTCATCTTCCTGTTATTACATTTTTAGTTTCTGCTTTTCCAGCAATCCTTCACTGCTGAGCTGCTGCAGTTTGATCCCTTCTTTTTCTGATTCCATAACAAACATGTTTTAAAGCCTTTGCTGCTGGTCTGCAGACCGTTTTTCCAGGAAAAGTGCTTCATGTATTACAACTTAAAACATGGGTGGATTTATTAGGATTTAATGTATTGGGAGCTAAGCCTTTGGTCTCCTCTTTCATATGGCCATGGAGGCAGACAGATGGGAGCAATTTGAGTAATTTATATGTTAAGAAGTAATAATCTTTGCAACCATTTTATCCATCCAAATGCTTTTAACTTTGATCTTTCTGTTTTTCTAATAACACCTTGTGTTTTTTTCAGGCTTCTTCACCTTTCAGAGATAACCATCCCTGATGACTCCTTTGAGCGCTTCCCTCAGCTAAAGAGAAGCAATGTCTGATTGCCACCGTGCCATCAAATATCTCCACAATTAGCTGCAAGAGCTTTTGCTGTTTGGGGGTAAAGCAGCAAAGGGGAAATGCTCTCTAGACCTTGAAAGCTGCTTTGTCCTTGCACAATGGTAATCCAAAGCCATAGGTCTTGCTGTGTTTAGAAGTCAGTAGATTTAGTAATTAACGTTCTTCACTCAATTAAAAAGCCCTTGATCTGAGCCTGTCAATAGATTTTTTCGGTATCTATAGAAAACTTTGCCTTGTGTTGAAAGATTTAGTGATTTCTTTCTTTCCCTTCAGACTAGGCTCGGTAGGGATGAGACACCGTTTGGCAAAATGGGCTTCGTCGCTCTGCTGGGCTGTGTCGAGGCAGTAGGAGCCCCGTCGGGGGCTGTCCTTGGCTGCAGCTGGGAAGTGGGCTTAATTGCAATAATTTACTGGGCCGGGTAATTATCGGATTAAGGGTCAGTGTTGTAGCACTGAGGGGAGGCATTGACAGAAGATAGGGTCTTGTCAGAAAAACTGACAGGGCTGGTGGAAAAGTGGCAAAGGCATCTGCGATACCTCTTATTGAAAGGTCCCACAGCTTAGGGAACAAGGAAGCTACAGGCTGTGAGATTTATTTTACTCTATTTAGGCTATATCCAAGGAGAGTAAGAAGAGGAATATTTTTATTTCACCTTGTAACAGGGTAGAGACAGTGCTACGTTGTCTCTCTTTCACCTCTTGCTATAAATACCTGCTCACGAGAAGGATCTTCTCAGCCCACTTGGCTTGCATTTTAATTATTTTCTCTGTCTGGCACTTTTCACCTGTTGAGTCATGTGTTGTTGTTGTTGTTGTTGTTTCCAATGGAAAAGTGAAGTTGAGCATCACCGTGAACTGGATGTCCCAGTTTTTGTGGGAAAATGCGTAGAATCATAGAATTGTTTAGGTTGGAAGGGGCATATTAAAAGTTTTCTCCATAAGATAAAATCCTGAAGTGAAAAACTGGATGAAGACAGGTTTTCCTAAGACCATTAGCACAGCGTAACGCACTGATATCTTAAATTAACCCAAGTCCAGCGCTTCACAGTATTAGGGCCTATTTCACTGACTTTGTTAAGAAGTTTAGGCACACATACCCTCCAGTTAAAATCCTTGTTCTCTTGCAAGATTCACTACCTTGCTGAAGTCATCAGCCTTAATAAAATCTCTGATCATGCTCTTTTTTTAGAAACACTTTCATCATCGGTTGTCTCATTAGACCACCTTCCTTCCTTCCTTTGCAGCATGGAACACCCTTTTTTGTCTTGTGTGTGTAGCGTGTCCAAGTTTTGGATGCATTAGTGAGGAGGTATGGGTGATTGGTAGGCATCATGAAGGAGCCAATTCCTAAAGCCTGTCCTCACCTGGCATCGCAGTGACAGAGCTCACTGGATAACCTGCCGTGCACTTGTGACTGCCCCAGCTTGGAGTGGGCAGGAGCTTGAAGTGAAGGGCCAGACAGGGCAGGGAATGAGCCCCCATGGCTTGAAGAGAAGGCAAAGCTCATGATCTCTCATCTCTCACGCTGAAGGCGAAGCGCGAGCAGCGCAAGTCTCTGCAACATGTTTCTTCATCTGCTCTCCTCTTCAACGGCCAAGCTCTACAGCCAGAGAAGTCGTCAGCTCTGGGAGGCTACATGGGTTTCACGTCCAAAAAGTGCAGTTCAGATACTCTTGCCATGTGGTTGTCTGCTTTTCCTAAGCCCTCAAGTCTCTCGGTCTGAGCGGATGGGACTCGTCTCATCAAATTGGCATCTGCAGTGTAGATGCTGACTTCAGCAGTAGTCACCCGGGGCTCCTGAAGGGTCTGCGGAGATCGAGCCAAGGCAGTTGAAGGAGTCCAGGGCATGATTCATCTCTTCTTAAACTAGACATCTAAAATAGGTCTGGAAAGCTGTGCTCAGAAAGTGCCGATTTCTCTCGGCTGGCTGTGAAAGGAGCTGACGGTGATTAGCTCAACGTCCCTGTTGTGGATGTCTGCGTCTGGTCGGATGAATCCTACCCAGATGGCTTTTGGCTGTGTTTGTACACACAGCTCAGCACAGGGGGGCCATATCCTCAGCCGCTGTAGATGTTACCATAATCTAAAAAGTACCACTAGCACGACCGAGGACACGTACTGTACGTCCCTCCTTATTCCAGCTCCACAAACATACGTCTTGCCATCTACCACGGTTCGATATGTATTTGTTAATCTAATAAGAAGGGAGGGCGGGCGTGGGTGGGTGAGCGAGTGTGCGGTGTCCAGTATGAATAGGTTGAGATAGGCTGATATCATCAGACAGCATTTCTGCATCCTGATTGATTGAGGTGCTCTGTTTCCACATTAACTTGCAATAAAGTGCTCTCTGATGCCGATACGCATTCATCATGTGCAATTGTGGAGACTGTTTATAACTTAATTTACTCCAAGGTAATGATGATTATATCTAAATATTTATGGAGAGGTCAGTGCAAGTAAATTTCTCAGTAATTTTGTTTTGCTTTTCTTTTCTTTCTCTTTTCTTCAGCCAGCCAAATTATCTCAATGCTCCCTACAGACCTTCTGCTAATTCCTTTGTTTGCAGTGACAGTTAGTGGAGAAAGAAGGCTGATTAACTGCGGGCTGCCTCTGCGCCGAGCCAGCCAACAGTCTAACCAGAGGTGCGTGCCTCGTCTCTGCCTTTTATTTTAATTCTGACCTGCAGGAATGTCATGGGCCAGAGCTGTCTATTAGAATATATCTAAATCCTGCGTGTGTTTGGGTGAGTTAGCAACACAAACTTCCCACTAATGCTGTTAAAATTGATACTCTCTGCAGATGTGAAAGTGGGTGGCATCAGTGGAGCACAGGTTGTTTCTTCATCTAACGATGATTTGTTCAGCACAGGCTGTGCCTGATCATTTTTAGGGTGGCCTCAGTCAGGAAATCAAAGCTATTTTGAGCACCTTGAGGTGCTTCTTAATTTTGGGGTGTGGGCATATTTCCCCATTTCTTCTGTTTGCTCTTTCTTGTGCTCTTTATCTCATGCCACACTCCACTGGGGGGATCCCATCTCTTCTAATGGGAATTAGCCTAGTGGAGCTGTGGTCTGTAGACACTTCACAGCCTTCTGGCAATATTTAGGACTGCCTGGGGCTGGAATTTTCACCCAGGAATTTTCTGAGGCGGCATGGAAAATGGACCATTTTGTTATCTCTGAGGGAATAGGAATTTCATGATATTGATATGAAACAGCTGAGAGGATGTTCCATTTTGATGTCTTATGAAAAACATCTGTGGATCTCTGTGCTGCTTGGCTCTCCCTGATCCTTCTGCAGAGCTCTAATACATCTTAGAATGGTTTGGGCTGGAAGGGACCTTAAAGATCATCGAGTTCCAACCCCCTGCCCTGGGCAGGGACACCTTCCACTAGAGCAGGTTGCTCAGAGCCCCATCCATCCTGGTCTTGAACACCTCCAGGGATGGGGCATCCACAGCTTCTCTGGGCAACCTGTTCCAGTGTTTCACCACTCTCACAGTAAAGAATTTCTTCCTAATATCTAACCTAAATTGACTCTTTTTCAGTTTAAAATCATTATCTTCCATCCTATCACTACACTCTCTGCTAAAGAGTTCCTCCCCATCTTTCCTGTAGGCTCCCTTTAAGTACATCACCTTATTCTTTTCCTCCTTCTCCCCCATTAGCCATGTTTTTGTATTCATGACCCTGAGTACTGTGCTTGGTGCAGGACATGTTGCCTTTCACATGCATTAAGCAAGCACTGAACATGGAGTGTGTCCCTGGGGGGGACTCGGGCAACTGAATGCCCAGTTCCTGGATGGACTTCAGAGGGAGACAGATGCTTATATCCTCAATTGCATGAAGGTGGGAGTGGGTAAGATGGGTCTGTAGGATCTGATTGTAGCTGAATGTCTCTTGCTCTCTTGGACAACAGCATCAACAGAGGACAATCCATTTCTGCTCAAGAAGTGCAACTGCAAGACACAAACCTGCCAATGGCAGGTTCTTTTCAGCTTTGGGGGTTGGAAGAGGTTGTAGTATGTGACAGCTTTGGACCTAAATGGTGTGCAGAAAGATGCCTGGTGCCTGCAGTCTTTCTTTGAAACTGGCCCCCACTAGTATTCTTATTACTGAATTCTAGCTCAGTGGTCCGTGTTGCCTTTAGAACTTATCCTCATCCTACTTTAAATGCTGCTTTACTTGTATCCCCAACACTAACTCTTCAAATATTTTCTGCTTTTCCTTTTCCCGGTTATATTATCACTGGAGTAGCAGTAGAAGCCCAGTAGCTGTGTCTTCCTGTGTGAGGGCCACTGCCTCTTGTCTTCACCCTGTGCTATGCCATGGCAGAGGATGCCAAAATTCCGTGACTGGTGATAAGTGATCGCTCCATGTATCGATGTGTTGGTGACTTGGTGGTGAGGATGTATTTTTAGATTTTCCTCAAAATGCTGGAGTATCCAGCTGTGGCCCTTGGCTGCCTGGATCCAGCTGGAAAATGGACTGGTACTGTCCTGGTGGTTCAGTCTTTATGGTGTGGAGAAAGGCAATTGCATAAATCCACTGTCAGCCTGAATCAAATGCTGCAAGAGAGAAAAGATATTGAAGTATATTGAACCACAGAGGAAAAAAATTACGAGTGCAATCTGCTCCATTAAAAATTTCATAGGCCGTTACTTTTACAGTGCAATTAGCTTTGTGATTTCGATGCTATTGGAAGCCCAGCGCAGTGGATAATCAGAGGCAGAAATGCCTGTGCAGGTACAAATGCAGAAAACCTCTAGGTTTTAGCTGCTTTTCATGTGTTCCTGAGCGCGCTTGTCAGTCAAGGGCTGTTGCTCCCTTCCCTTCGGCTCCACTTTTCTCCTCTGCTTGTCTTTCCTTCCACCACTTCCACCAGCCCCAGCCCCTTGATGTCTTTGTTCATGGAGCAGCTGCTTTGGGAGGGAGGCACAATGGGACCCGTCAGTGGTGGGGAGTGGGACGGTGGCGGGCGAGGGGCTGGCTTTTGTCAGGAGGGGGGTGTTTGCTACCTTTGATGCCAATCATTTTGGAA